TCCAATTGGTTAGTGCGATAGCAGCCCACACACTGGGATTCCGCTCGGCTGTGATACCCGTAAACACTGACCGTCCCAACAAACTGGCACGTACTTATTGCGTTAACTTACCAAAGCTATGACGAGGGTGAGGATTTACTGTTACTCTCTCATTTATGCCTGGGGGTCCACCGACTCGTCTCTGAGTCTTACCAGTTTATTTTCCTTTGCTTCCATTTCCCCTTGATCACACAATGTCATTCCAACAGACCTGCGCTCACTTCCCGGCTCGCGAAGTGCGTCATTCTGTCACGCCGTATTAAACACGGACTAAACAGAAGGGCACATTCCACGCAGTTTATCGCCGCCATCATCAGAGCCCACAACAATGTGCTCAACGGATGAGAGCGTTGCTCTTACGTAGCGTCACTGCCATCGCCAACCCGGGGATTCGTCGGATACAAGCGAGATTTATACATTGGTAGTGGACAATTAGTTTCAGTAAGAGTTTTACGGCACTTGCAAAATAAAAAGACGATGTAAGTGCCAAAGATTAGAGTCGTCACAAGAGGGCAACATAGCAAGAAAAGGAGGAGCGATAAGGACGATAGATGTTTGATAGGTAAGAAGGAGCAAACCACACAAGAACAACCGCCAACCACCCACGTGACGTTGACACAAACACACACACACAAACTGAGAGAGAGAGAGAGAGAGAGAGAGAGAGAGAGAGAGAGAGAGGGGGGGGGAGTCTGCGGTAATGGGGTAGTCTAAAGGTAGGAACAAATCGCTTTGCGGATATCGTGGCTCCCTTTTCATCTCTGCTAACAACCAAAAAGAGGAAGTTCTCATGAGAGATAATCGTGGCTGCAGAACTGGTTTCACCAAATCATATAACACACGCAATGCAAAGAGAACTAAGAGTTGGGTTGAGTGCAGTGGAGTTGCAGTTCAGTGTAAGTTAATACAATAACGACCATGACCATAATATTACGCCTGGAATAAGGGAAGGGCAAAAGTTCGACTGAAAAAAATAAGCAGAAGGAGCAGACCACACGAGAACGCCCTCAAAACACCCGCAAAGCGACCGAGAGACCAAATAAAGAAGGGGCATAGTCATCAAGGCGCTTGGTAGATAGGGACGGGGGTGAAGTTGATGTTGTTGAATTCAAACATGGTTGTTTCAACACTTCCATTCACTTCACTACTGCCTCAGTCGCCGAGCTCGTAGGAGGTTAATCGTAACTAAATATTTTAAGAAGTTACAACAAGGACGAACAGGAAAACCACAGAGTTGCAAATGTGGCTTCAGTTCATACGCAGAAGGTTTTTAACCAGACACTACAACTTAAGTTTAGCGGTATGAGAACGAAATACATGTAAGAGGTATAAACATCACCAAATGTCAGTTGACTGAAAGTTTATACCCCATTTGATACAAGTTGGACCACATAAACCGGGCTGCTTCAAACCCGTCTGTTATCTTGAGCCACAACTGAGAAAGATGTCGCATCACAGCGGAAAGACGGACATACAAGTACTTGCAGGAAACACGCGGGAATCGAAATCGCGTCTGTTGCCAGCCACTGACGCCAGACTCCACCAATGTGTCTGTCTTCCGGAATAAAGCAAAGCAGGTCGACACAAAAGTGTTCACTAAACAACCACCCATTATCATTAACACATTTATGAAACTAGGCAGTAAAATGGCACAAAATCATGCAAACGCTTGCATTATGTGAACGAGCCATAATTTCTGAACGTGTACTAAGAACGGTGGCTCTAAGAAAAGGGACCAGTCTCTCGGCTAGCAAATTTTAATTCTAAAAAGTTGCCAAACAATTCAAACTTGGCTCACAGTTCTGCGCGTGTTATACTTTTGGTGGCATGCCCGCTGAGGCAGCAGTCCGGTCACGGGAAAGAAGACACGAAACGACGTGGACGAAAATAAACAGGAGCTCCGCGGCGAGGGCAATGTGGTGTACACAAGAAACTGGGGGCTCACTGAAACTGACCCCAAAAACGTCTGGAAGGAGCTCTGTTACGTCCGGGGGAGGAACGGCATTTTTCTCTTCAATTAAACCCGTTTCAGACTACCAGGACAAACCCTGGTACACATTATAGAGTACAGTATGGACGTAGCCATGAATACGTGTGAAATTCTATAGAAATATAAGGGTTGTTTTTTTATATTTTACTGCAGTTTAAATAAGTTTTACTATACTTGAAACACAATTAGGTCATGTAATTGCCGAAGATTAGGTGTTATAAAAAATCCCATTTTTTTTAAAGATGGAAGAGAGACAAGGACGATAGGTATTTGATAGGGAAGAAGGAGCATCGCACCAGAACACCTACCAACTACTCAAATTATTATGGAGTCTGATAAAAATAAAAAGAACCAAAATCGGGATTGTACTCATGTTTAACAAGTGTAAAGACAGACAGTCCTTCTGTGTCGTGTCGACAAGTAAATAAAAACGATTATAATATGAACTGCTCAGTTCCGTGGCACGTCTACTTCTGTGTTGAAGGTTTGGCCGTTTTTCTTCTTTTTTTTTTTAGATTTAAGAAGCTGGGATTTAACTCCAAACTTCAATAAGACCAAGCCAAGACGGCGATGTGTCACAAAAACTCCCCAAACATCTGAAGTTCACACATAGTCCATTGTGGACTCGAACCAGGACCGCCGACAGAAACAGCACAGACGACCTGGCACGTTCATGACTGTGGGAACCCGGCTTAAAATGAGCTTCCCTGCAACGCACCCCATGTCACAGGCGTTCATGCCAGACAGGTTTACAGAAGTGCCACGAATCTGGGATCATCTGCCACCGATGGCACCGAGGCCTGGGCCCGTCCGGGCGCTGCCAGGCAGTCCGGGAGTCGGGGCAGGTTCTGTCTCGAGATTTACGATAGACGTGTTTTAAGTACGTCCCGCGGATCAGGGTGAGAAGAGAGAGAGACTTGGGCGCCGGACGTTCACCTCCTCCTATGCTTTTAATTCTTGTTACCATTCTAATTTGCCCACGGTAAAGAGAAACCATTATCGACCCGACCCGTCATGAGTTACAGCACAACTAGCTTAAGTTCCCCGACCTAACGCATCATATCAGCGCTGCGTGAATAGGGTGGGGGGGGGGGTCGGTTGCCCCCCCCCCCTGGTTTCCCTTGTTTTCGAGAACTACCCTCACTAAGAGAGCTGTCAATTTCAAACCACTCCTCAGAATGTTTTTTAAAAACCCATGCAGCGTTTCAGAAAGAAAGAAATCACATTCTGCAAGTTTCATCGCTCTACGTTTTATGACAATTCCTTCATAGTCAGGGTGAAGGCATTGAACGCCCCTCGTCGATTTGGAAAGACACAATACACCACACAGAATAAATAGCAGGTATGTACATCTGATCACAGACGGTTATGTGCGCTAACCCACAACTTCCTGCCCAAATGTTACCCCCAACACCGGAGGCAAACTTCCTGCCAAAATGTTCCCTCTAAATATCGAGGGAAACATTCCTCTTCTGTTTGTAACAAAATCAGACGTTAAATTGCTCGTTTAGTTCATGGCATAATTCTACATTTAAAGCCATACCTGCGGCTAGGAGACACACAAAAAGTAGGTGACCTATTTCAACACGCTCCGTAACAAGGTCCCTCGGTCACTTAAACTACTGAAATCAACAACAAATATAAGGGGTGAACGACATTCTCTAGACAGCGGGTCACACTTCAAAATAATCAATACTTTCTTAATAAAATTTATATAGCGGAAGAAAGAAGAGATTAATTCACCGCATTACCAAATCAACACATTTAAAAAAACAAAAACATATTTATGCAAAAGCCATAAGCGGCGACGCAGTTTGTTTTCTTCCGTGTGTAGTTGGGGTTTTTTTAAAAAAAAGGGGGGGGGGGCGCTATTGTGACGGGGGAGTGGGAGAGCTGCAGAGAAGTACCAAATGCCAGAGGGTTGTAGCGTTCTAGTTTTTCGTCAACTAAAACGATAAAGTGACAACTTCATTGGAACACATTTGGGTTGAATAATTTGATCGAACGAGAACATGAGTTCATCTTACGGAACCAACACAATAATACACAGACAGACAGCCCAAATGTTTTGGTCTCAGTCAGAGAGAGGCATAACGAGATGATATCAGTCAACTAGTGCGGGGGTGGGGTTCAGTTAGATTAAGAATTTTACGGCACTGGAAACATAATTAAGTCACACACGTGCTGAAAATTATAAATGTTACTTGAGAGTAACATACAAAGAAAAGAAGGAGGAGCGGTTTTAGTTTTAGTAGAGGTGTTACGGCGCTCGCAACTCGCAACTGAATAAGGTCATATGAGCGCCAAGGGGAGGATGTCAACAGAGAAGTCCTTACAGTGAATCAGACTTACTCTGCTCACCTCTCTAGCTTTGGAAATAGCGGGTCACAAGAATGTGACAAACATACAAAACAAGTAGAAGGAAAATGACGAAACTATAGTAAAGATTAGGAAATAAAAAAGCAGCAGTTCCCTGTCGTAGTTCAGGCAAAGTTATACTATGGATGTTTGACGGGAAAGAAGGAACAAATCACACCAGAGCACCTGCCAAACACCCTGGGGAAAAAGGGGGAGGGGAGATGTAATGACACAAAAAAGAAAAACTACAGATAGTACAGCACAAGACCCCATGTTCTGACACAAGTAAAAAGAAGCACATCGACTAGATAGCGGTAATTTCGAGTTTTGAGTAAAGAGAAGCACATCGACACAATAACGGTCCTTTAATGCCGGGGAAAAGTGATTTAATGCTAGGAATACGTAAGTCAGAAAGACAAAATTTAAAAAAGGGGAAAGAACTCCGGTAAAATCTCCAACAGCAACCTCCAAATACCCGCAATCATTTCAAACAGGAATATATTAATATTAAATCAACACGTAGAAACAATAAAGGCACAGAGGAGAAAAACAGACGAACAGATGTATTTCTAACTACTAACACAAACGAGAAAAAAAAGACGAGCACACTTACCCTGGATCTGTCCAACGGGTTGTTGAAATCGAATCCCGGCGACACGAACAGGTATCCACATTTTGACACTTTCCGAGAGGCCTGGAAAACAACAAAGAAAAAACTTAGTATTGGGGGAGTTGGTATTGAAACGTCACTGTAGTATTCAAGAATTGTAGTAATGTTTTGACAGTACTGACTTAAACGTGGTTCAACAGAATACACGCAGTCATGTTTGTCGTTGCTGTCATTTAAAAAATGCTGTTGTCGTTGCTGACGTCGTCGCTTTCGGTTTTGCTGCTGCTCCTGCTATTAAGTTCAGTTTAGTTGTGAAAATCACTAGGGCGCTAAGGTGGTTATGTTTCCTACTCCCCCCCCCCCCCCCCCCCCCCCGGAAGAAAAATCAAATTCAAAGCAATTGAGTGTGGAAGACATTGTCCTTACGCTTTATTCTCTTCGAACAGCTCTAGGGGTCTATAAAAAAAAGTATGAACTTTGGTTTTAGTAAAAGTTTTTCGGCACTTGCAACACAAATAGGTCATATAACTGTCCAAAACTATAAGTGTTACTGAGAGTAACATACTACAAAGACAAGGAGGAGAGATTTAAGGACGATAGATGTCAGATGGGAAAGAAGGAGCAAACCACGCCAGAGCAACGCCAATCACCAACTGAAAACCAGTGTGGGAAGGGGGACGGGCGCAAAATAACGCCCAGGATTAAATGGGGGAGTTTTAAACTAACCAAGTTGCACTCTAAACTACCTGCACTTCAGAAGTCGTCCAACAGTTGCGCGTATTATCGTGCCCACAGCCACAATGGCAACATTTGCCAGAAAGTAGACAAGGACAATAATAAACAAGACACAGGAAGAGAAAAGCCCCCACTGGTACCCGCCTGACACTCACAAAATAAGCGTATTGGGGTTCTCAAAACAACCTCAAGCAGCTGGGAGGGGAGGGGGGGGGGGGGGGTACGCGCCATATTCAAAATAATTTACAGTAATCAAGACCGCTTTGGCCCTGCCTGTCGGGCTCTAACCCGAGCGGAAATGTACACAGCATCAAAGTAGAAAGACAGAGATACTGAATAAAAACATGTTTCCCCAAATGGGTATCGGACGCATGTCTTTTGCAATGGCGAAGAGTCTAACCATAGCGCCACAGGAGTTGTCCAGGTATATCACTTCTGACAGCATAACATATAAGTGTCATAAAGTAAATACGAGACATAAAAATACCAACAAAACAGAAGAGCAGATCTGACCAAACTTCCACCAACCACCGACGCATCTTGGATCCCCGAGATACAGCGTAAAGCTCAAAGATTTAAAAAAAAACGGATATCCTGGTGTTCTTCCGTACTTCTTACTCTCGTTTTCAATTAACTTAGTTCACCCATGCTGAAAAAGGTACCTCTTGAGAAAAATGAAGTTCAACTGATCTCCACAAAAGAACTCGTTAGGAAGGGAAATAGAGCAAGGATATGAAAAGCTTTTAGTCTCGCTGGCTACGGCAATCTTATACACAAAAGATGATTCCCCCCCCAAGCGGCACAAAGGCGGTCCCAGATCGCTGTCGGTCATGATGAACAACGCTGTAATTCTTTCAGTCGCTTCACAAAGCTCAAAGGTTTATCTTTGACGGACATTCTAAACAAAACTTACTACCATGACCAGGATCTTACCCCCCCCCCCCCCCCCCAAAACCCACACTAAACTATCTAATTTACCCAAATGTGTTTTAATAAAAGTTTAAAGCAGGGGCGTAGTCCATTTGCTATCTATTGAGAATTTCTTGAAAACAAGGAATTTATTTGTACAAATAAAACACATTAGTAGACTCGGGTAATCTCCCAGGCGGAGCACTCGGTGCGGTGGAGAAAGTACAGGAAGAAGCAAAGATTTTGTAAAACGAGAGGGGTGACAGAGATTATACTATACACCAAAGTTAATATCACACACGCATGTTTTGGGGATTTATGTTCACAAAAGTAATTCCAAAGTAAACGGTTTGCTCCTCTTAATGGTCTGAGATGAAGTGTATTTGATTGTCACCCTCCCCCCCC